TCGTCCTGGGGAAAGGGTCCAGACCTCTGGGTGCCCTTGCGGACGTGACGCGCGCCCCGACAGTGGGTTTTGAATGTGCTGTAGCTGCCAGAGACGACTCGCGCCCCGAGCTCTTGTCGCCGGGGCCTCGAGAGAGCCTGGGGCCGTGGCTTGAGTCCGTTGCCACCGCCCCCTCCCTTGCCTGAAGCCCCCTTTTGGGTTACCGGGAGTGGGGCGAGCGCGAGGGGAATTCGCCACGAAAGGAAACCGGGCCCAGACTCCCAAGGCCAAGAACCCGGGCGGCTACTCGGGCGTTGCTGGACCTGGTCCTGGCCTGAGGTGTCCTCGGCTCTTCGCTCCACTCTGGCGCCCCCCGAGCCCTCGAGGCCTCGCTAGGGGGTGCTGTGGAGGCCGTGGGAGCCTGCTTCGAGGTCCTGGGTCACAACACGCCCACACCGACCACCCCCAATCTCGGCAATCTTGCGTCGACGGCGCCGCGTCAACGGCAGGCACGGCGATCGAAGTGGAATAGAACATCCTCCTGGAGCAGTGCGCCCACGCCGTGGGGCCGTCCCGGTGTCTAACTATACTGCCCACGTGCCTCCGAAGACAGACATCGTCCACAATACCGTGAATGCGCTTCTGTGCTCGCGGCGATGGCGGGCGCTGCGGGGGGGAGGAGGGGGGAAGGGGCTGGGGGGGCATAACACAACGCGTCTCCCCGCCGTGTGGGTCTGGCACCACAGACTGTGGTGCCGGACGCACTGCAGCGGGGGGAGAGGTGCATTGTGTGGGGGGGGGGGGGGGGAGGGTGGGGGGGGCATCACGCGCGTCGCGGCCCAGAGGGTAACGACAAAACACTCTCCAGGGAACGCGTGAGCTGCATGGCGCCACCCTGGGCCAGAGTGCCTCTGGCAACATCCGAACCCGGCCCGCCGCGGGAGCAAGGGGGGGGGCGCCCCCCATCGGTCCTGCTCCTGCTCCCGCGGGGCCGCCACATGTTCGGGGCCCCCGGGCCAGTCCGCGGCGCGGGAGGGCTGGCCCTCCGGCCCCTGCTGCTGGTCCTGGTCCTCGGCGGCGCGGCAGGAGTCGGGCAACGCTCAGCGGGGGGGGCGGCATGAACGGGGGGGGGGGCCCGACAAGCAGCCCCCGAGGAGGCTCCCGCGTGGGTGGGGGCGAGGGGGGAGGTTAGGGGAGGGGGGGGGGCGGCGCAGGGTGGGAAGCGTCGAGCGCGAACCGCCGTTTTGACATATCGCAGACAGATCGGCGACGGGCCGCCGGTAGCGGAAGCGCGCGTGCCTGGGCGGGGTGGGCTGTCAGGCACCGATGGGCGATGAATCGGAGATTGGGGGCCGATGCGATGCGCAGGATCAGTGAGCATCGGATCGGGAAATCGGATCGAATCGCAGTGTGCGTCGGATCGGGCCGCGTCGGCGCAAGAGGCGGGGTCGAATCGGATCGGCTGCGGCAAGGTGCGCAACCGCGCCACGCAACCATCGGGCCGCATCGGATCGTCGGAACATCGGAATCGAATCGGATCAATCTGGTTAGACTTGACATGGATGAAACGGATCCTGAAAGACACGTGTCCTGAGAGAAACGGGCCCTGGACCCCGAGGACCTTCCCAAAAGACCAACTCTTCATCCTGAGTCGTTCTCTGACAAGTCTAGGGGCTCACCGTAGGTCTACCGTAGGCCTCTGCGTAGGCCTACGCGTAGCGTTCGCGTAGCCCTTTTGTAGGCCTATGGTAGGCCTACGGTAGGTCTGCGGTAGGCAACGGTATATCTGCATATAACGCACGGTAGGCCTATACATGGCCTATGCGTAGGTCCATGGAAGGCCCATGGCAGGTCTATGCTAGACCGATGGTAGGCCTGTGGATATCCTGTGCGTGGGCCTATGATAGGCCTATGGTAGGTCTATGGTAGACCTATGGTGGGCTTATGGCAGGTCTATGGTAGGCCCTATGATACGCCGATGGTAGGTCTATGGCAGCCCTATTGTGGGCCCATGGTAGATCTATGGCAAGCCTGCGGCAGGCCAGCGGTAGGCCTACGGTACGCCGGCGGTAGGGTTACGGCATGTCTACGATTGGCCTACTACAGTAGGGTGACGGTAAGTCTATGGGTGGCCTGCGGTGGGGCGGCGGTAAGTCCACGGTAGGGTGCCGATGGGTCTACGGTGATCCTGCCTGAAACCTGGGGTAGGTCCTTGGTAGGTCTACCATAGGCCTATGGTAGTCTCTAGTCGTCCTGCAGCAGGTCTAGCATAAGCCTACGGTGAAGCCAACGGTAGTCCCAGCGTAGGCATGTTGTAAATCTACGGTCAGTCTGCAGCAAGTCCACTGGTCAGCCTGTGGTAACCATTCCGTAGACCTAGGTTAAGCCTATGAAGCAGGGTCTGGCAAGCTGTATTTTCGCCTGGCGACGCGGATACGGCACCGCCGCTGCTCACGGACAAGGTCATTGCACGCGCGGGCAATCAGACCCGGGGGAGCACCATCTCTCCTCAAGTATTCTTGCAGCAAGATGCCGTTTGTTCTGGATGCAACAAAAAACAACGTTGCATGTCAAAATCAACAGGCAGGCGGGATAATACCTGTAAAGAGGCACTCCATTGAATGTAGGCAGACAGATCAAACAGGAGGGGCATTATATGTGAGCGGCTGCAATGCCCAAAGCCAAAAAACAACTCCACTGATAATTTCGTTGTTTTTGTCAGTAAAAATTGTTCTTTGCTTTGGGCGTCCGAATTTTGGCCTTGGGCATCGGCGGCTTGGCTTTAGGCGTTTTGATGCCCCACTGCCGCGAGTGCGCGGCACCAGCGTCGGGTTGGCTGGGCGACTGGTCCAAATGGGACGGGGCAGACAGGCGAGCCAGACAGCTGGGGTCCTCCGGGAATGCTGCATCCTCGACTCGGCACCCGTGCACCGTAGCGGGCGGAATGGGTGGGGCAGGCGGGCGGGCCCTGAAGAGCGGGACGGGTTTGGTCGGGCGCCCGGACCCCGGCGGGCGGCACAGGTCGGCTCGGGCGGCTGGACCCTCACGGGCGGGTCCGGGTCGGGTCGGGCGGGACATTCGAGTATGATGCCTCATCGAGTTGGCGCGCGAAAGCCTCAACGGGCGGGACGGGTCGGGCGAGCGGACGGACCAGAACGTGGCACGGATCGGGGCGGGCGGAGCCTAACGGCACGCGCGAACCCTAACGGGCGGGTCGGGTCGGGCGGGCAGGACCCTAACGGGCGGGACGGGTCGGGTCGCGACGGGCGGACCCTAACGGGCGGGCGGGTCGGGCGCGCGGACCCTAACGAGCGGGACGGGTCGGGCGGGAGGGACACTACAGTCGGAGGTTGGGGGGTGAGATCGCAGTGGGACGGAGACCCCCAACCGGGAAATCGTTTCGTTTCGATCGTGTCGTGCGTGCGGGCGAGGCGAAGCTGCGTGGGCGCGCAAGAGGAATGAACCCGCCGTTGCTAGGGCGAAATCAAAACAGATGTTTCTCCGTCCGTCCGTCCGTCCGTCCGTCCGTCCGGCGGTGGCCCTAGCGGTGTCCCGCGGTGTCGCGTGGTGTTCCGTGGTGTCCGCCGTGGCTGGGGCGAAGTCAAGACAAATCTTTCTCCTCCGTCCGTCCGTCCGACCCGTCCGGCGGTGGCCCTAGCGGTGTCCCGCGGTGTCCCGTGGTGTCCCGTGGTGTCCCGTTGAGTGAGATCGATAGTGAGACCGATAGTGAGATTGATCGTGCGATCGATCGTGAGATCGATGTGGTGCCCTGAGGTGTCCCGTGGTGTCCCAAAAAGTGAGTTCACTATGAGATCGACAGGTGTCCCGTGGTGTCCCGTCGTGTCCCGTTGAGTGAGATCGATAGTGAGCTTGATAGTGAGATCGATCGTGACCGATGTGGTGCCCCAAGGTGTCCCGTGGTGTCCCGAAAAGTGAGATAGATAGTGAGATCGACAGGTGTCCCGTTGAGTGGGATCGATAAAGATATCGATAGTGAGATCGATGTGGTGTCCCGAGGTGTCCCGTGGTGTCCTATGGTGTCCCGTTGAAGGAGATCGATCGTGAGATCGATAGTGAGACAGATAGTGAGATCGAGAGGTGTCCCGCAATGTCCCCTGGTGTCCCGTCGTGTCCCGTTGAGTGAGATCGATGGTGAGCTTGATAGTGAGATCGATCGTGACCGATGTGGTGCCCCAAGGTGTCCCGTGGTGTCCCGAAAAGTGAGATAGATAGTGAGATCGACAGGTGTCCCGTTGAGTGGGATCGATAAAGATATCGATAGTGAGATCGATGTGGTGTCCCGAGGTGTCCCGTGGTGTCCTATGGTGTCCCGTTGAAGGAGATCGATCGTGAGATCGATAGTGAGACAGATAGTGAGATCGAGAGGTGTCCCGCAATGTCCCCTGGTGTCCCGTCGTGTCCCGTTGAGTGAGATCGATGGTGAGCTTGATAGTGAGATCGATCGTGACCGATGTGGTGCCCCAAGGTGTCCCGTGGTGTCCCGAAAAGTGAGATAGATAGTGAGATCGACAGGTGTCCCGTTGAGTGGGATCGATAAAGATATCGATAGTGAGATCGATGTGGTGTCCCGAGGTGTCCCGTGGTGTCCTATGGTGTCCCGTTGAAGGAGATCGATCGTGAGATCGATAGTGAGACAGATAGTGAGATCGAGAGGTGTCCCGCAATGTCCCCTGGTGTCCCGTCGTGTCCCGTTGAGTGAGATCGATGGTGAGATCGATAGTGAGATCGACAAGTGTCCCGTGGTGTCCCGTGGTGTCCCGTTGAGTGAGATCGATCGTGAGATCCATTGAGTCAGATGTTCGTTCCCCTCCCTCTCCCCCCCCACATCCTCCTTACCTCACCCGAAGGGTGGTCGTATGGGTATGGGGCATGTTCGAGGGCCCTAACGGGCGGGACGGGTCGGGTCGGGACGGGCGGGCCCCAACCGGCGGGCGGGTCGGGCGTGAGGGCCCCGACGGGCGGTACGGTTCGGGCGGGCGGGACACGAACTGTGCGGGGCATGCTCGGGGGGGAGCACGCGCGAATCCTAACGGGCAAGTCGGGTCGGGCGGGCGGGGCCCTCACGAGCGGGACGGGTCGGGTCGGGACGGGCGGGCCCTCACGGGCGGGCGGGCCAGGCGGGCGGGCTCTCACGGGGGGGACGCGTCGGGCGGGCGGGAGAATACAGTCGGGGCGTTGACCTAAGGTACCCTAAATAAGGAACGAGGCCCCTGTTTTCCATAAGTTAACCTTCGACTTCCTGTCGAAAACATAAGGAAAGCCTGAGGCAAGATGCGAAACACTTAAGGAACGCGGAGCCCCTCCCCAACGAAAAGGGTTTCTTCTTCAGGGCCCCGACTGTACAGTGCGTGACGTGTTCGAGTGAGCACGCGTGAACCCTGACGGGCGCGTCGGGTCGGGCGGGCGGGACCCTAACGGGCGGGACGGGTCGGGTCGGGACGGGCGGACCCGAACGGGCGGGAAGGCTGGGCGGGCGGACCCTAACGGGCGGGGCAAGTCGGGCGGGAAGGACACCAGTGCAGGGCATGCTCGAGTGAGCTCGCGCGAACCCTAACATGCAAGTCGAACCGGGCGAAACCCTAACGGGCGGGACGGGTCGGGTCGCGACGGACGGACCCTAACTGGCGGGCGGGTCGGGCGGGCGGAACATCAAAGTGTGGGGTATGATCGACTGAGCACGCGCGAACCCTAGCGGGCGCCTCGGGGTCGGGCGGGCGCTGCCCTCACGGGAGAGACAGCTTGGGTCAGGACGGGCGGACCCTAACTGGCGGGGCGGGTCGGGCGGGACAGAAAGCGTGGGGCATGTTCGAGTGGGCACGCGCGAACCCAAACGGGCGGGACGGGTCGGGAGGGCCAAACACTGAAATATGATGCATCATCGAGTTGGCATGCGAATGCCCAAACGAGCGGGACGGGTCGGGCGGGCGGGCGGGCCCGAACAGGTGGGACGGGTCGGAGCGGGGGGACCCTAACGGGCGGGTCCGGTCGTGTCGGGCGGGACATTCAAGTATGATGCCTCATCGAGTTGGCACGCGAATGCCCTAACGGG